TGAACAATTAACAGTCTGTTCCACAATCAGCTCCAGGCCTTGTTTTGACTGAAGATACTGAACTTTTGCATCGCCTCTTTCCACAAATGTAGTTGATCTGATTCCTGTGTACTACATCTGATGAAATCCATGTGTATAGCCACCATTTATGTTTTTGAAAAAAGGGATTTACAATGAATAAGTCATTGGTCTTGCAAAATTCTTGTCACATGATCTCCAACTGATCTTCTGTCATTTCTATCTGCAAGGCCGTATTTTCCAATTACTGGTGATTCTTCTTTGTTCCCAACTTTTGCATTCCAGTCACCAGTAATAATCAACACATCTTAATTACATGTTTGGTCAATTTCAAACTGCAGACATTGGTAAAAATCTTCCATTTCCTGGTCTTCAGCGTAAATCTGAATAATAGTGATAGTAACTAGTCTTCCTTGTAGCTGTATGGATATTATCCCATCACTGACAGCATTGTACTTCAGGATAGATCTTGAAACATTCTTTGTGACGATGAATGCCACACCGTTTCTCTTCAGTCTGTCATTCCCAGCATAGATCATATGGTTGTCTGATTCAAAATGACCAAAACCAGTCCATTTTAGCTCACTAGGATATCGATCTTTATACATTACATTTCATTTTTGATAACTTCCAATTTTCCTAGATTCATACTTTGTACATTCCATGTTCCAATAGTATATTGACAGAGAACGTCCAGAAATGCAAGCTGGATTTAAAAGAGGACATAGAATGAGGGATATCATTGCCAGTGTCAGATAGGTCTTGGCTCAAAGCAAAGAATACCAGAATGATGTTTACTTGTGTTTTACTGACTATGCAAAAGCATTCAGTTGTCTGGATCATAACAAATTATGGATAACATTGAGAAGAATGGGAATTCCAGAACACTTAATTGTGCTCATGAGGAATTGTATGTAGACCAAGAGGCTGTTGTTTGAACAGCACAAGGGGATACTGCATGCTTTAAAATCAGAAAAGGAATGTGTCAGGGTTGTATCCTTTCGCCATATTTATTCAATCTGTATGGTGGGCAAATAATCTGAGAAGCTGGACTATATGAAGAGGAACACAGCAGCTGGATTGGAGGAGGACTCACTCACAACCTGCAATATGCAGATGGCACAGCTTTGGTTGCTGAAAGTGAGAAAGACTTGAAGTACTTACTGATAAAGATTAAAGACTGGGTTAGATTTCAACGTAAAGAAAATGAAAATCCTCACAAGTGGACCCATAAGCAGCAGCATGATAAATGCAGAAAAGATTGAAGTTGTCAAAAATTTAATATTACTTGGTTCCACAATCAACACCAGTGGAAGCAGCAGTCAAGATAACAGAAGACATTGTACTGGGCAAATCTGCTCTTTAAAGTGCTGAAGAGCAAAGATGTCTCTTTGAAGACTAAGGTGCACCTAACCCAGGCCATGGTGTTTTCAGTTGCCTCATGTGTATGTGAAAGCTGGACAATGAATAAGGAAGACCAAAGAAGAGTTGACGCTTTTGAGTTGTGGTGTTGGCAACAAATACTGAAAAGTACCATGGACTGCCAGAAGAACTAACAAACCTGTCCTGAAAGAAATGCAGCAGGAATGCTCCTTGAAAGGAAGAATGACCAGACTTTGTCTCACCTACTTTAGTTATGTTATCAGAAGGGACCATTTACCTGGTGAAGGATATCATGCTTGGTAAAGTGGAGGGTCAGCAAAAAAGGGGAAGGCCCTCAGCAAGATGGATTGACACAGTGGCTACAGCGATAGGCTTAGGTATAGCAAGGATTGTGAGGCTGGCACAGGACTGAGCAGTATTTCATTCTTTTTTTTTATTGTACATAAGGTTGCTATAAGTTAGAGCTGACTCTACGGCATCTAACAACAACAGTGGTTAAGGATGTTGGACAACTTTCATGTGCTTATTTGCCATTATCCTTATCTTTTTTGGTGAAATAACTCTTCATGACTTTTGCCTATTTTCTAATATCATTGGTTGTTTTGTTACTTTTAAGCTTTGAGAGTGTTTCTCAGATTTTAATTAATATGAGTCCTTTGTCCTTTGCAAGTAGTTTGTGAATATTTTCTGCCATCATGTAGCTTTGTCTTTTCATCATCTTACTAGAGTCTTTTACGGAGCAAAGTTTTTTTTTTTGTTGTTTCCTTTTTTTAGCTTACTTCCACATTTCTAGCTCAGGGACATTGATGACATTTTTCATGTTGTGCCACCATTATTGCTGTCCTTTTCCAAAATATTCCACCATAATTAGCATAAACTCAGTGCCCCACAAACAAAAGCTTCCCCTTTGCCCCTCCCTCCTACCCCTGGTAACCACTAGTGATCTTTGGTTTCTGTGTGTGTGTGTGTGTGTGTGTGTGTGTGTGTGTATTTATTTATTTATTTTTTTCAAATCTGTCTAGCAATTTTCTCTCCCTTCTCCCTCCCTGGTAACCAACAAAGAAAGTTTCCTTCCATGTATAAACCTTTCCTTTCTTTGACTTTTTACGGTAGTGGACTATTACAATCTTTGCCCTTCTGTGATTGACATACTTAACATAATGTCCTCCAAGTTCATCCATGTTATGCAGTATTTCATGGGTTCTACATTATTTTTTAGTGTTGTATATTGTTCAGTTGTGTGTATGTACCACAGTTTGATTATCCATTCCTTCGTTGATGGACACTTAAGGTTGTTTCCATCTCTTGGCTATTCTGAATAGTGCTGCAGTAAACATGAGTGTGTACACATCTATTTGTGTCCTGGTTCTCAGTTCTTCAGGATATATATCTAGTAATGAGATTACCAGATCAAATGGTATTTCTGTTTACAACTTTTTAAGGAATCGCCATACCGATTTCCACAGTGATTGTATCATTTTACAGTCTCATCAGCAGTATAGGAGAATCCCAGTCTCTCCATATCCTTGCCAGCATTTGTTGTTTTCTGTGTTGTTGAACTTTGCTATTAGTGTTGGGGTGAGATGATACCTCACTGTTATTTTGATTTGCATCTCTCTAATGGCTAATGAGGAGCTCTGGTAGCATAGTGCCTAAGGTACTTGACTGCTAACCAGAAGGCTGGCAGTTCAAACCTACCAGCCACTCCGTGGAAGGAAGAGGGGGCAATCTACTTCTGTAGTGATACTGCCTTGGAAACCCAAGGAGGGGTCGCTATGAGTCAAGTCTGACTCGATGGAACATAACAACACCACCACAATGGCTAATGATCATGAATATTTCTTCATGTGTTTGTTGGCCGTCTGAATATCTTCTTTGGTAAAATGTCTGCTCATGTCTTCTACACATTTTTTTAATTGGATTGTTTGTCTTTTTGAAGTTGAGGTGTTGGAGTTTTCTATAAATTTTAGAGATAAGTCCTTTGCCAGAGAAGTTGTTGCCAAATATCTTTTCCCAATCTGTAAGTTCTCATTTTACTCTCTTGGAGAACACATTTTTTAAATTGGATTGTTTGTCTTTTTGAAGTTGAGGTGTTGGAGTTTTCTATAAATTTTAGAGATAAGTCCTTTGCCTGATAAGTTGTTGCCAAATATTTTTTCGCCATCTGTAGGTTCTCATTTTACTCTCTTGGAGAAGTCTTTTGATGCACATAAAATTTTAATTTTTAGAAAACAAGGGTTTTTAATTTTTATTTAGTCTAATTCTTTTATCTTTTTCTTTTAATGGATCATGCTTTTGGTTTCTTGTCTAAGAACTTTTCACTTCATGCTAGGTCCTGAAGATTTCCTCCTATGTTATCTGTAAAGATATCATAGTTTACATTTTGTAGTCCAACCAGTAATCCATTTTGAGGTAATTTGTGTATAAGGTGTGAGGTTAACTTTTTTGCTTATGGGTTATAATAATTGCTCTAGCACCATGTGTTGAAAAGATTCCTTCCTCTACTGAATTGGTTTTGCACTTTCTTAAATTTCTGTAAAACTTTATACAGTTGTTAATAACAGAATCAGTTGACATAGTGTTGTTATATTGAAGAATGTTTCAAACATCTTTTTGTCTATAATTGCCATATAGTCTTGTAGTCAGTATTTTTTAACTAGAAAGTGCCCCATTAAAATTAATTTGAAGAGTATTTGAAAAATATCACATGGCCTGATGATATGTTTCAGTAGGTTTGAGGTGTGCGTAGACATGTGCCTTTTGGAAAAGCCTTTTTTGATAATTGTGACAGACATCCACTGTTGAGAATCACTGTTCTTCATGAAATAGAAATTTTAGTTTTCCTTTCATTATTTAAGAACCACTTGAAATTCCCTATCAATCAAGTCTATGGTAATTTGGTTCTTCTTAAAAGTTCTCTAGTTTTGGAAGGAAAATGTGAAATGTATGTTATTTAGTTTATAGAAATTAAATTTTAAAAGAATATGCTAATTTAAAGCTCATTCATCATACAAATAGTGATTAAAAGGATATTTTTACCTCATAAGCTAGACTGTCTGAAAGATGGAATACCTTATGATCAGTATAGCAAAATAAGATGTGCAATTGTAGTTTACTTATTATATTTGAATGAAACCAGCTTATAAAATAGCTATAGAGCTTTATCTTCTTGGCAGTTTATACCTGTTTATATTTTTCCTTCATTCTTTGAAATTCTTCTTTATTCTATGAAATATGATTTAAGCATTATAACTTTAATTCTAAGACATGTCAAAATCTTATTTGTGGCCTTGTTAAAATGTCTGTACTTTTGAAAACATATTTCAAGTGTATAAATGCATTTTTCATTTAAGATTGACCTAAATTATATCAGCTTCTAAGTCACTAGTATTTTTATAGGAAGAAACATTTTCTTACTTGAATATACTTCTTTGTAAGAAAATAAAAATACAAGGCCTCCATTCTAATACAGAGTTTTCCTAGTAAGTATGAACCAGTTTGGTTAATTGATCTAGTTTTAAAATACATGTCTAAAATTCTAATGAGATTTTGCTTAATAAGATTTAGTGAATTTTTAGCTCACTTACTATGTGTTTTAGTCATTTACAGGTGGTGGATACAGATTGGGTAATTCCTTTTGTAAGCAGTCTGAATACATCTATGGAGAAAGTCAGCTGCAAGACGTAGGTACATTAATCAAAAAGAAAAAGTGCATATGCTTACCTCTACTGAATATTGTGTGCTTTAAAATTAGAAGTTAATAATAAAAGCTTTTTGTTATTGAACAATGATGAATCTGTGAAACACCTCATAACATGGATGAACCTGGAAGGACAGTGTGCTGGTGAAATTGTCAGTCACAAAGGGACAAATTGTGGATGAGAACACTAATGTAAAAACTCAGGAAAAGGTTTATACACAGAAAGAAACATTCTTTGAAGATTACCAGGGGTTGTAGAAGAAGGGAGGGTAAATCACTACCTTAGAGGATATACATGTATTAATTTAAGTGAAGGGAAATGCAGTAAACAGTAAGGAAAAATAATTAAAAAGAAAACAAGAAAAAAGCTTTCTTTTTTAAAAAAACAAATGAATTAAAACGATCAGTGTGTAGTTTCTCAATCTCAAATTTTATATTTTGTTTCTCAGTAGTGCCTTACACTTAAGAGGTAAAGTAACTATTTTTTGAATGAATGTATGATACGTTGTGTCAAAATGAGCTTGCATGTATGTTATAATAATTTTATAACAATAGTCTACTATTATAATCTCCTCAGAAGGAAGATTGGGCAATCTTACTTCCGTAGTGATACTGCCTCAGAAACCCAAGGAGGGGTCGCTAGGACTCGGGGCCGACTCGACGGCACATAACAACAACAACTATTATAATATAAAGGAGGTCTGGTAGCATAGTGCCTTGCTAACCAGAAAGTTGGTGGTTCAAACCTACCATGCACTCTGCAGAGGGAAGACTGGGCAGTCTACTTCCATAAAGATTTACCTCGGAAACCCAATGGAGGTCACTATGAGTTGGAATCGACTCAATGGCAATGAGTTTGGTTTTTTCAGTATCATAATATAGAATGAGCTGAGCTATAAACATTGAAACACCTAAAATCATTCTTTGTTTCTGATGCCATTGAAATTTTGCAGTTATAATATCATTTTAAACATTTATGCTTTTGCCTTGGAGAGTCAATAGAAATTATGTCTTGACCCTTGACATGAATATTAAGCCTGTAGCTCTATAGCAAAGAAGACAAAAGATGGGCCCAGAAGAAGAAGGTGGTTATGGGGTGGGAGCTGTGGATGTTATATGCTGATTGCTTTTGTTTTCTCAGGGAACCTGCTTCAAAACCAGGGTCAGGCTGCGTGACCTTTGGTATTTTCAACCATTTAATCTAAACACAAATCCGCTAAACCTCACATATGATTTCATGTATGTCTTTAACTCTGAATAATGAATAACTCCACGTTTTAAATTAAGTGGTTTAATATGTTGTCACATACCACATTTGAAACTTAAAATTGTTTGGTGAAAATAGAGTCTTATTTTCTTCCTATTTATTTATTTATTTTATGTCCAAAAGGTTCAGATTTTGCTTAAACTGTGGAGCAATGGTTTCAGTTTAGATGATGGAGAATTGAGACCTTACAGTGACCCAACAAATGCTCAGTTCCTGGAATCTGTTAAAAGAGGGTAAGATGTATTATTTGTATTCTATTTCTTATGTAAGAGTGAGACTTTTTTTAACAGACTGCTGTTTAGTATCATACCCTGGTTTTTAAGAATTGGATACTGGAATATGTTATGTAAGTGCTTGCTGTAGGAAAGGGTATTCTTAAGTAAAAATTATGTATTGCTATCTGTAGGTGACTGGCTCCTAACTTGTGGGGATGGTGAGTGGTCACTTGCCCCTTTTAAAAATCTGATGAAGGGGTGGCCCAGTTCTAAGAAGAAAACATCTTAGGGTAATAAATCTGTGAATGGATTAGCCTAGAGCTGCCCATCCACTAAGCCACTGCCCTGCTTACTGCTTACTGTTGACAGGGTGAGTCACTGCATGTATGCCTGAAATTCAGCAACTTGTATTAGAAATCTTTTAAGTGGCATTACTGCTGGCAGAAGACGTCAAAAGGTTAGTTGAAAGTTATAGTTTGTGCAAGTAAATAGGCATTTGACCTATCTCAGGACATTGTAACTCACCAGCTCTTGCCTCTTCAATTCAATTACAGCTCTTTATGAATTTGTAATACTGGATTTTTATTAAGCTAAAACAGATAAACAAAAAAGGCATCATGGTACAATTGAAAGAGATTGCACTCATATTCAGTAATGGAATAAAGAATTGAGTTTGATTTCTCATTTTAGGATATTTTCATCTAGATGGAAATGTACCTGTGTTCTCACTAGGATTTTTCCGTAACCACACAGGAGTAAGTGAAGCAGAAAGACTATCTTTTTTATTTTTTCTGTATCTTTGAAGAAAGACAGTTGCTTGATTTGACTTTTCCATGCCCTTTCAACAATTGCCTAGTTTCTCATACCTGAGCAGCTCTTTCCTCGCCTCCCTCAAAGCAACCTCCCATTGTCAGAATCGATTTGATAGTAGTGAGTTTGGTTTGGGTGGAGTGTGTAAGACTCTTTTCATACTCATGATGTTATTAGGAACTCATTGGTATTAGGACCTTTCTTATAAAAGAATTAGTAGAACCTTTCCTTTACATTTGAGGAATCTGAGACCCAGGGAATTAGTGATTTGCCTTGCTAATAAAAGTATAAAGGACTGTAGACCCCAGGTCTCTTGAATCCTGGTCTGGGTTGTTTTTGCCCTACTATACTATATTTGTATAAGTTAAACTTGCAGCTTTTCTAGTCAGTTTTAAATTTAAAATTTCAGAAACTATTCAAGAAAGTGTGTTTTCTTTAATATATTCCTCTTCTGCCATTCTCATTCAGGGAAAGAATCTAGTGATGAGGGCCTTTTGCCATGCCAAAGCATTTACAGATTTCTATTTGATGGGCTTGGTACATGCTAAGAATGTCATTTTTATACTCGCATTTAGAATGCCTCTTTGCTGTTTATTGTGTTCCAGTGGTTCCCTTGACCCTCTACATCAAGTACAAACTTCAAAATATGGTATTCTTCTCTTTTGTCCAATCTCTATTAAATAATGATCAAAATGAAAGCTAACATAGTAAACCTCTATGTATCAGATCCTTCTCTAAATGCTTTACTTATATTTAGTCTCATTTCATTTTCACAATAATACTATAAAATAGTTACTGTTATGCTCACAATACAGAGGGGAAACTGAGGCACAGAGATCTTGTATAACTTCCAAAGGCCCCACACAGCTATAAGTGACAGAAGTGAGAGTCAAAGCCAAGCTGAATGGCTCCAGGACCTGTGCTTTTAACCACTGCTTGTGCTGGCTGCTCTGCACACGATGATTGTCCTTTCCTTTCCCAGACCACTTACAAGGGATGCCCTCTTTAATGTTACCTAGCAAAGAACCTTTCTTTGAGCAAGCTCTAGAGCTACTGTTTTCCACTGTTGCTGCTGTTTTCTTTCTCTCATCCTTATATGGCAACACACAGAGATGATCATAATGGTTTCCACATTTACCAGCGTTACTGTTTTTCTGGAGCGAAATGGAGACATGCCTAATCAGTGTACATCTAAAAAGAACTTTACATTCATTGAAATAATTGCTACTTAATAATACAATTTTCTGTAGAAATATACATGAGATATTAATAGCTGCTCAGTGTACTATGTTAATGTTTCCTGTTCTGTATACTTGTTAGCAGTGGTGAGAACTCTTTGAATCCCACAGGGGCTCTTTGTGATGTCTAGAAAGAAAATGTTAATAATAAATTTTAATATAGTTAATTAATTGAAATTAACAAATCATAGGCAATGACCTAACATTGTTATTAAGTTTATATCTTCCTCACCCCATCTGTGTCAATCTTTTTTATAAAAGGTTTTTGTAAAACAAAAACAAAACTCTTGGAAAAAAATAAAAAGGAAATGCTATTTGGAGACTAAGAGTTAAATGAAACCTGTAACTCTTATTCTTTTTTTAAAGAGTAAAATGTTCAGTAGTTAATTCACATGTTTGCCCCTTTCTCCTCCTTGTTACTTGCTTCAAATAACTACAGTCTCAATTTCATTATGCAAACAGAAGATGAGAGGAAAAAAAGCAAAAGATACCAGAAGAGATGGGACATGTTAAAGTTATTTTGAAGGTTCTCTTCATCCCTTTTTTTTTTTTTTTTTTAATATTGTGAGCAGTTAAGGATTTAGTTTCAGGATTTAATCCAGCATTCTGATTTTATAATAATTGTGTTTATACTCCAATGCTTTAATTTCTAGGAGCCTAAAATAATTAATTCACATAAATATAGCTGAAAAAATTGTTCATAGGTCAATGGTAATGTGTGAAGAACAGTGGTTTAGAAAGAAGAGGCTCCACAGTTGTGGGACTATGTATCAAATGTCCTTCTAATCCACATCATGGTAGAAAATCTTTTGTAATATTCAGAATTCAATAATTATGCTTACTCTACACAATGGTAAAATGTTTCTGTAGAGAATATTGCTCTCTAGAAATTGTTTTATGTGACCTTCACACACTTGCCAAATTATAGGTCCTTCTTTACCCTTGAAAGTTTGCTTTATTGTATATGTGTTAGGAACAGTACTGTACTTTATAGACATGGTATTTGTCAGGATGAGGAACAGTGATTTTGTAGTTACTATAAAAGTATTTCTGTGCGTTATTCTTTCATAGCTGTCAGTGGGATCTATCCTAAGTGAAAATACTTATAAAGTCATAGGTCAGGGATGAACTGGGAGATTAAGTAGCAGTTAAGCTACCAGAGCATGGCATTGTACACCATGGAGGAATTGAAGTATAGCTCTTCCAAGGGATGAAATATGACCCAGGAGACTGGTGAAAATGGAGTGGAGGTGAAGCTCATTGGAGTGAGGTGGTCAAGCTACTCTGAAGCAAAGGTATTTTAGAATATTACCTATTTTCTCCCATAAAACAGACCCACACAAATAACCATGCACATGCATATAGGAGACTAATGCTGAAGAAGGTTTGCAAAAACCATGTAAGGACTTCTGGTAAGATGGAGGAATAGGCAGACAAGCTACACAGACCCCCTTCAACAAAGAAAAGAGAAACCAATTGGCAGAGATACAGAATATAATCCTAGAGTCCTGAGCTTTTGAAAGGAAGTATACAGAAGTGGATTAGGCACCAACTAGTGGAAAAACCTGAACAAAAACAAGATCTAAGAATAGGCTCTCTTTGCCAAGAACGGCAGGGCTATATGGGAGACTGACGATGGGAAAGGAGACAGGTGGTGAATGTGTAAGTGCTACCAACTAGTGGATAGAGGAGCACAGCACAGAACCCTACTTATGTGCCTCAACAGCAAAGGTATTAACAATCCAGTTGAAAAATGGGCAGAAGACTTGAATAGATACTTCACCAAAGAAGATATTCAGGGAGCCAGCAAATAAATGAAGAAATGCTCACAATCATTGGCCATCAGAGAGATGCAAATCAAAGAAACAATGAGATACCATTTCACCCTAGCACTGATGGCAAGAGAAAACCCTAGAACAATTTCAAAAGATAATACAAGAACAAAATGACAAAATAAATGAAAAATTAGAAATGATACAAAATCTACACACAGAAATCCAGAAGATTAATACAAAATTTTCAGAAATGGATAACACATTGAACGGGCAAAGGAGAAGAATTGAATAAGTGGAAGACAAAATTAGTGAGGTTGAAGGCAAATACCTCACTACTTCTTTGGAAAAGGATCAGTCAGGAAAAGATAAAAAGAAAGTGAAGAAAGCCTAAGGTTCATATGGGATACAATCAAAAGGAATAACCTATGTGTTACTGATGGCAAGGTTCAATGAGACAGAAAATAACAAATGTTGGTGGGGATGTGGAGAGATTGGGACTGTCATACACTGCTAGTGGGACTGTGAAGTGATACAACCACTGTGGAAAGCAGTATGGTGATTCCTTAGAAAGCTGGAATTGGAGATAGCATTTGACCCAGCAATCCCATCACTAGGTACCTATCCTAGAGAGGTGAGAGCCAGGACAGGAACAGATATATTCACACCCATGTTCATTGCAGCACTGTTTGCACTGGCAACAGGATGGAGGCAACCTACATGCCCATCAGCATAGGAGTGGATGACCAAGCTGTGGTGCATACATACAATGGAGTACTGTGCAGCACTGAGGAGTGATATGGAGTCTGGAAAGTGCCACATGGTATGGATGAGCTTGGAGGACATTGCACTGAGTGAAATAAGTCAGTCACAGAAGGACAAATATAAATTAGTTTGTTGTAGAGTGTCGATGAAGGGTTTATATGTGGAGGGAAGCTTTGTTGGTTGCCAGGGGAGGGAGGGGAGGAGAGGAAATACTGCGAAAAAAAAAAAAAAGATTGTCGTATGTCACTTTATTGTTGTTGTTATTTGCCATCGAGTCGGACTCGACTCACAGTGACCCCTCTTTGGGTTTCCAAGGCAGTATCACTATGGAAGTAGATTGCCCAACTTCCTTCCAAGGAGTGGCTGGTGGGTTTGAACCACCAGCCTTCTGGTTAACAGTCAACTGCCTTAGGCACTACACTACAAGAGTCACTTTAGCTTTGTGTATTTCACTGTACATAAATTTTATTTCTTCACTGTACATAAATTATATTTCAATAAAATGCATTTAAAAAAACATGTAAGGTGAGTTATTTGCATAAAATACAGTGATTAATTAGCATAAATTTTGAATTCTACAAGGATAATGTCAAGATAAAGAAAAAAAAAATGCAAGAAATGCCATAAGCAGTATGCTGAAGTCATTGAGAAGCTGAGATGTAATAGTTCATGTCAGTGCTGTGGACTTGGAAAACTGCAGAATCACTGTTCATCTGCAACATAGATTAAAACTAATTTATTATCAAATGAAAACAACCCATAGACTTTCTAGGTTAATGTTCAAATTGTCATGGTATACTAAAAGATAATTTTTTATTTCATCCTCACCATATCCTCAAGTATGAAGATAGTACTATCAAGAAGAGTTTCACAAAGAGTCCTTGAAAAAAAAAATGATGTCAGATAGTGGTTGTCAAGTGTATAGACCCATTGCCCCTGTTTATAACAAATATTTTGTAACTCCATCTTCACTATCCTAAAAAAGGAACTCATTTATATACTATTCTACATTAAATATATTTGAGAAATAAAAGGGAAGTAATTTGTCATGAGTTATCTGGCAGGGATGACCACACCAGAAGACAAAAGATGATTTTATGTTCTACCATTTCTCATGTAAACATGACAGGTGTAAAAACAATGATGAAGTATGTTAAAATGATATATCTTAATGACTACAAATGGTGTAAAGTCATGGACTTGGTACAAATCCCAAACAAAACAAAGTGTGTGCTTCCCTTTAATTTATATGGTAGATATGTTAACATAATACAAAAAGAAATGTTTTTACTTCTATGTAAAACAAGTTTTAGGCCCAGTGATTAGCAGTGTATTCATCCCCATGACTCTGGCAGGGCCCTTCATGACTGTGGAACCTGAGATAAGAATTCCTTATGCATGACAGGCCCACACATTGCAGGGCATCTCACGTCCTGGGCCCTGACACTGAGACAGCAGCACTCAAAAATCACACAGCAATCTAAACCACCCCTATGTATTTCCAAAATGTCCTACAGGGAGTTCAGGACTAAATATCAACATTAACTATTATGTTCACATAGGAATTTTCCAATGCTAATTTAGGTATAAATTGCTGTCTTACTATTTTCCTTTCAAAATCACTAAAACAACCAAAAACATCCCTGTTTGAGAACCACTAAGGAATTATATGTTGTAACCTTAAGAAAGAAAGATCTATGCAGATGAATCAGTGGTTGTGGAAATTTTGACAAGCTAATTTCAACATAAACTTCCATATTTCACTGCCACTAGCAACTCAATTAAAATAATCTCAGCAGTGTAGTTTGTTTTAAAATTTTGAAAAATTCATCCCTTTTTTCCTTCTTTTTCCAAAGAGAAATTCCCCTGGAGCTTCAGCGACTGGTTCATGGCAGCCAAGTGAGTTTGGACATGGAGGATCATCAGGATCAAGAATACATAAAACCTAGATTGAGGTTCAAGGCTTTTAGTGGAGAAGGCCAAAAGCTTGGAAGGTAAAATCACAAAATGAGAAAAATACTAGTCTTTTCAACGTGAATTTCTTTGGAATTGAAAAAATGTAGAATAACTGTAAAGTAAAAACTGAAATATGAGCTATGAAGCCCTTCTTGATGGAGTTAGATATGCAAATCTACTAATAATGTTAGTAGCAAACACTTGCATAGCAATTACCACATGCCTGGCACTTCTAAGCACTTTAAGTGTGTGAGTTCACTCAATCTCCACAAAGTAGATACTATTTGATGTATACTGTTATTACTCCCCTTTGCAAATGCAGCAATTTGCCCAAGATCATTAAGGTAGTAAGCGACTAGTACACAGAATTCAAAACCAAGCGCTGTGGCTCCAGAGTTCGTGCTTTTAACGTAGGCCAAACTATGTATGTATGTGTGTGTATATATATATATACATATATATATATATATATATATGTATGCCACTGTATGTATGTATGCCACATTATCTGTGGTTTTCAAGGGAAAACTGTAAAGAATTATGTAGACAAATTATAATTCTCAGTATGCATGTCTGTCAGAAATAATTACTAAACTCTTGCACCAGTGGGCAGTGAGTATGCTTATGTTAATGTTCAATATTTTTTTTAGCAACAGAGCTCTTTCTTCAAGTTATATATTTAAAACAGATAAAATCTTAGCTCCTTTGATTGTAAGTGAAGGACAGAATTGTCTTTGCGATATTTCCAAAGAACACTTGGGACTTTGCAGAGTGCAGCTTAAAAACGAATGTGTTTGGTGTAATGTATGGGTGGACTCTTACGATAGCCATGGGTTTTGAAAAAAATCTTATAAAGTAGGTTGGAAATATTTTAAAATACTGGAAGCAGACCACATCCTTAAGGCAGCTACTTAGATGTTCCAATAGATTCCACCATGGAGTGGATTACTAATCTCAGCCAATTTGTCTGGCTTTCTTTTTTTTTTTCTTTTTTTTAATTTAGAATTTGAATTTCAATCCATATCTTTCTTCGATTCTGTCTGGGACTGTGTAATCTGTCCCAGGTCAGAATGGGCTATAGTGGTAGCCTGGCACCATCTAGTTCTTCTGGTCTCAGAATTGATGAAGTTGTGGCTCTTGTAGATATTTGTTTCTTCACTGTGCTTTTGGTTACCTTCATAGTATTCTGCTTCTGGCAAGTCAAGGCCTATACATTTGTCTTAAGTGGCCACTTACAAGCTTTTAAGACCCCAGATGCTGCTAACTTCACTATCCTGAAGATAAAGGGTTCTTTTGGGGTTTTTTTGTTCGTTTGTTTTTTCATTTTTGTGAACTATGTTATGCTAACTGACTGCGTTGTCCCATGGTCCTAAGTCTTCAAACCCAGGAAACCAATATTAGAAGGTGTTTGGTTATGTCTGAGGAGTATCTGCATTTGTGTCTTGAATGAGTATATGTACCTGCATCCATATATATGTATTTGCATGTACCTTTAGGTACTTCTTCACCATTTATCTGTCAGTTTGTTGTACTGTGGTGCCTTGTGTATAACTGTGAGGCTGGAGGCTGTGCCACTGGTATTCAAATAACAGCAGGATCACCCATGGTAGACAGGTTTCAGTGGAGCTTCCAGACTAAGACAGACTAGGAGAAAGGATAGGCCATCCACTTTTGAAAAAATTGGCCAGTGAAAACCTTATGAATAGCAGTGAAACACTGTCTGATATATTGCTGAAAAACTTTACTAGTAGCTGTGAAACGTTACCAGAAGATGAGCACCTCAGGTTGGAAGGCACTCAGAATACAGTTGGGGAAGAGCTACCTCCTCAAAGTAGAGTCCCTTAAGGACAAGGATAGAGTAAAACTTTCGGGACCTTCATTACTGATGGGGCATGACTCAAAATGGGAAGAAACAGCTGCAGACATCCATTAATAATTGGAATGAGGAATATATGAAGTATGAATCTAGGAAAATTGGAAGTTGTCCAAAAATGAAATGGAACACATAAAGATTGACATTCTAGGCATTTATGAGCTGAAGTGAACTTGTATTGACTGTATTGAATCAGACAATCATATGATCTACTATGCCGGGAATGACAAACTGAAGAGGAATGGCTTTACATTCATTGTCACCGAGAGTGTTTCAATATCTATCCTGAAGTACAGTGCTGTCAGTGATAGGATAATATCCATATGCCTACAAGAAAGACCAGTTAATACTACTACCATTCAAATTTATGCACCAACCACTAAAGCCAAAGATGAGGAAATTGAAGATTTTTACCAACTTCTGCCATCTGAAATTTTGACCAAACATGCAAACAAGGTGTATTAATTATTACTGGTGATTGGAAGGCAAAAATTGGAAACAAGAATCAACAGGAGTTGGAAAATAGGGCCTTGGTAATAGAAATGATGCTGAAAATCACGTGATAGAATTTTGTAAGACCAATTACTTATTCATTGCAAATACCTTTTTTTTAGCAACATAAATGGCAACTATACATGTGGACCTCACCAGATGTAATACACAGAAATCAAGTCCACTATGTCTGTGGAAAGAGTCAAAGGAGAAGTTCAATATCCTCAGGCAAAACAAGGCCAGGAGCTGACTGTGTAGCAGACCATCAGTTATTAGTTGCTCATATGCAAGTTCAAGTTGAAGCAGAAGAAAATTTAAAAAGTCCACAAGAGCCAAAATAAACCTTGTATCCCACCTGAATTTAGACATCATATGAAGAATAGATTTGACACATTGAACACCATTGACTGAAGAGCACCAGATAAGTTGTGGGATGACATCAAGAACATCATATGTGAAGAAAGCAAACAGTCATTAAAAACACAGGAAAGAAACAAAAGACCAAAATGGATGTCAGAAGAGAATCTGAAGCTTGCTTTTCAACAGAGAGTAGCTAAAGCAAACGGAAGAAATGATGAAGTAAAAGAGCCGAACAGATTTCAAAGGGCAGCTAGAGAAGACATAATAAAGTATTATAATGAAATATACAAAGACTTGGAGTTAGAAAACCAAGAGGGAAGAACACATTCAGCATTTCTCAAGCTGAAAGAACTGAAGAAAAAAATCAAAGCCTCAAGTTGTGACAGTGAAGGATTCTTCGGGCAAAATACTGAATGATGCAGGAGGCATCAGAAGAAGGTGGAAAGAATACACAGAGTCACTGTGCCAAAAAGAATTGGTCTGTGTTTAACTATTTCAGAAGGTAGCATATGATCAGGAACCATTGATCCTGAAGGAAGAAGTCAAAGCTGCACTGAAGGAATTGGTGAAAAACAAGGCTCATTAACAACCTGCAATATGCAGATGACACAACCTTGCTTGCTGAACGTGAAGAAAACTTGATGCCCTTACTGGTGGAGATCAAAGACTACAGTCTTCAGTATGGATTACACCTCAACATAAATAAAACAAAAATCCTTGCAATTAGATCAGTAAGCAACATCACAATAAATGGAGAAAAGATTAACATTGTCAGGGATTTCATTTTACTTGGATCTACAATCAACACCCAAGGAAGCAACAGTCAAGAAATCAGACATTGTTACAGTAGGCAGATCTGCTGCAAAGACCTCTTTAAAGTGTTGAAGAGCATAAATGTCACTTTGAAGACTAAGGTGCACCTATCCGAAGCCATGATATTTTCAGTAGCCTCATATGCATGTGAAAGCTGGACAGTGAACAAGGAAGACTGAAGAAGAGTTGATGCCTTTGAACTATGATGTTGGTGAAGAATACTGAAAATACCATGGACTGCCAGAAGAAGAAACAAATCTGTCCTGGAAAAAGTACAGCCAGAATGTTCCTTAGTAGCGAGAATGGCCAGGTGGAATATACTCAAGGTTATAATTTTGGCTCTTGTGGCCTTGTTTTAATTTTTTTTCAGCTTCAACTTAAACTTGCATATGAGCAATTCATGGTCTGTTCCACAGTTGGCCCCTGGCCTCCTTCTTTCTTGTGGCTGATATTGAGCTTTTCCATCATCTGTTTCCACAGATGTCATCAATTTGATTAAAGTGTGTTCCATGTGGCAAAGTCTACATGAATAGTCACCATTTATGTTGTTGGAAAAAAGGTATTTGCAATGAATAAGTCATTGGTCATGCAAAATTCTGTCATGTGATCTCTCAGGTCTTTGTATCATCAACACCATATTTTCCAGTTTATTCTTTGTTTCCAATTTTCACATTCCAGTCACCATTAATTATCAATACATCTTGATTGCATGTTTGGTCAATTTCTTCCTCTTTGGCTTTAGTAGTTGGTGTGTAAATTTGAATAGCTGTATTAACTGAGGTTCATTGTAGATATTATCCTATCACTGACAGCATTGTACTTCAGAATAGATCTTGAAATTTTCTTTTTGATAATGAACGTGATGCCATTCTTCTTTGTCATTCCATGCATAGTGAACCATATGATTGTCCAATTCAGAATGACCTATACCAATGCATTTCAGCTCAGTACTGCCTAGGATGTCAAACTTTATGCATTTCATTTCTTTTTTTTACAATTTCCAATTTTCCTAGATTCATATGAATGGATGTTTGCAGCTGTTTCTCTCATTTTGATTCGTGTCACATCAGCAAATGAAGATCCAGAAAACTTCACTCCATCCCTGTCATTAAGGTCAACTCTACTTTGAGGGGAGCTCTGGTAGCATAGCGCCTAAGGCACTTGACTGCTAACCAGAAGCCTGGAGGTTCAAACCCACCAGCCACTCCTAGGAAGGAAGGTTGGGCAATCTACATCCATAGTGATACTGCCTTGGAAACCCAAGGAGGGGTCGCTATGAATCGGGTCTGACTCGACAGCATGTAACAACAACAACTACTTAGAGGAGGCAGCTTTTCCCCAGTTGTGTTTTGAGTGCCTTCCAATGCAAGGGCCTCATCTTCTGGCACTATCAGACAATGTTTCCCTGCTATTTTTCAGGTTTTTAGTGGCCTTTTGTTTTATTTTCCACAAGTGGACCTGGCCTTATCTTTTTTCCTAGTTTGTCTTGGTCTGGAAATTCCACTGACACCTGTCCACCGTGGGTGACTCTTGGTATTTGAAATACCGGTGGCATAGTTTCCAGCATCACAGCAACACATGAGCTACCACAGTCCGACAAACTGATAGATGAGTGGTGGCACATAATATAATGGCACCAAGTAAATCTTAGGTTAAGACTGCAGATTTACAATAATAGTACAAACTGCATTACTGAATGAAATTTAACCTAATGAGCTAGAGTAGAGCCCAACATGTAAAAGACAGAAAATCAGAGAATTGACTGTGATAGGGAAGTTTTGCAGATAGCCATTTTCTGTAGGCTTTTGAGCTGGTATGTGTGATTATAACATCATAATTTGAAGCAGATTCCTCATTCGCTCAGAAATAGTCATGGCCTATTTATTATCACCATCAAGTCCAAGTGATTTTGTTGGGCACTGTCACTCTTGCTGCTACAACTGAAGTTTAACTTTATCTGGGTCTCTGGCCCTCAGGTCCCTGGGCTCTCTTCTAAAGTCAGACAGCTCTTTTGTTCCCATCTTTCTTTCATTTTCCTACCCAGCTCTTCTGCCATCCCCTGATCTCACCATGTAGCCATCGCATTGGTCTGCAATTGTGCGGCTGGAGATAGCTCCTTTCTTATACACATGGTTTCAAGCCTTCCCCGCTCTCCTTCAGCCCGCTGTTCTCCCTCTGTGCCTTGACTCTCAACAGATTGCTTCACTTCCAACTTCCCTGAGAAGACGGAGCCTGGCATGCAGGAATGAACTTTCTTGATATCTTCCCCTTAGCCTCTAAGTTTGTTAATATTTCTATCCCATCCTTACCTTACTCTTCTAGTTTGAAGAAGGTGCTTCTCCCACTTGAAACATTTCTTTAGTTTTCTTAGAAGCACTTTATCAAATAACTTGCCTCTCTTTTCCTTTTCTAAAAAATTTATTTTTAATGTAATACTTGAAACTTACAAACAATATAAGAGTTTTAATTGGCAAATAAGCCTGACTTTGAAAAATACTAAAGTTGCTATAACTTAAAAAAACGCAACAGAATGAAACACTGCCTAGTCCTGCACCCTCCTCACAGTTGTTGCTGTTTGAGCCCATTGTTGCAGCCACTGTGTCATCCATCTTACTGAGGGTCTCCTCTTTTTCTCTGACCCTCTGCTTTACCAAGCATGATATCCTTCTCCAGCGATTGGTTCTTTCTGCTAATGTGTCCAAAGTACATGAGTCAAATTCATCATTGCTTCTAAGGAGCATTCTGGCTGTACTTCTTCCAAGATAGATTTGTTTGTTGTGCTGGTAGTCCATGGTTTATTCAGTATTGTTTGACAGCACAATAATTCAAATGCATCAATTCTTCTTTGGTCTACCTTATTCATTGTCCAGCTCTCACATGCATATGAGGCAATTGAAAATACCATGGCTTGGATCAGGCTCAGCTTTGTCTCTAAAATGGTATTTTCTTTCTTTTGCTCTTTAACACTTTAAGAATTTAAAGAGATCTTTTGTGGCAGATTTACCTATTGAAGTAATAAGTAAATGCTCACAGCCAACTTTTAGGGTAGAAAAAAAAAGTTACTGGTGCACTGATTCCAACTTATGATTACAGACACACGTGTGTCTCTGTAGAGCTGTGTACCACAGGGCTTTCAATGGCTGATTTTTTAAAAACAGGTTCTAGATTTTTCTGAGATGTATTAGTGTAGACTTGAACTTCTAACCTTTTGGTGAGCAGCCAAGCATATCATTTATCATTTATATATCATTTATACCACCCAGGTACTCCAACTCAGCCGCTCCTCGGAAGGAAGATGGGGCAATCTACTTCCGTAGTGATACTGCCTTGGAAACCCAAGGAGGGGTCACTATGAGTCGGATCCGACTCGCCGGTACATAACAACAACAACAAGTATATAAAGCACTCTTTGGAGTGCCTTATGTGCCTTAATTTAATCTTTACAATACTCGTACACAAAGAACTTAAGTGACTTCCCAAAATCACACATTTGATAAGTGGCAGAGTTAGGATTGAAACCAGGTAATCTAGCTCCAGCATCCATGAGTTAACCTTTATGCAACCTAGCCTCACACAATGATTTAAATGAAATAATGCATGTAGTAGAGGCAGTGATGTGGTAGTGATGATTATATAATGTGTCTATGTGTATACTTTGTTATTGGTGAGGAAACAAGAAAGGAAAAGCACTTTGCATTTAGTTTTTGATATCTTTTTTCTTTGATTTTCCTCCTCTTTCTTGTGTCAAGGCCACTGGAGTATTAGCATGATAGCCCAATTGGCAGTGTAGCTACTTAGGCCCTCAAGTGCAAATTTGAAAGATAATTCCTAAAGTAAGTAATATTCTGGTCAGTTACTGCAATCAAATCATCGTGTTCTTCATCTTTCATATATTTATCATACATATTCTTTAATCAGTTATATAAACTGTCAGAAAATGCCTAAAGAAAAGGGGGAAATGTTAGCAGTAAATACCACTTAATTTTGCCACTTTGTCAGATGTTCAGAGAGAAGCTTCTGGGATGGGAGAAAGGCCAAACGTTCATACAACTATCAGAGAATCTCTTAAAAAGACAGAGAGATCAAGATTTTATGTCTACAAAGAACTTGGCTAGATATGTTTTCCCCTCTTAACAAAAAGAGTAGTCTTAGTTTTGAACATTCACACTTGGCTTCTAACAACTTAACCACCTTGCTGACTCTTAGAAGAAGTACTAAGAAAGCAATGCTAAGGTCACTAGTCACCACAACCAAATGGTAATAGTCTGTCAAATGAAGCTTCGTTATAAATTCATCACCATGCATAAAATTTAAATTTCTCACTATTATTCAGGAGTCATTTCTCTTTTGCAAATCAGAAACTACTTAGATCAGATGTTCTTAAGTAATCTTAACTAAGTTCAAATTAATTTAATAGTTTGGTGCTGATAATAGTTGCAAAGCCAAAAATAAAAGCGCACTGCCGTCTAGTCGTTTCTGACTCACAGTGACCCCCATTTTAGGTTTCCAAGGCTATAACTCTCTCGGAAGTAGATAGTCCCGTCTTCCTTCTGTGGAGCAACTTGTGGGTTTGAACTGTTGACCTTCCAGTTAGCAGTCAACTGCCTTATCACTGTACCACCAGAGCTCCTTTAACAGTTGCAAAAATAGCTGCTAATTGTTGAAACACTGTGTTACAGATTTTTAGGACAATAGTATTTATATACTATATAAATAGTAGTATTTCCCCCCATTTTATAAATGATCTAACTGGGATTGCTTACTAGAGGTAATTTACTTGATGATGTTTACACGGTTGACACTGAGATTAGAAAACAAGTCTGTCATTCTTTGACTTTAACTTAAAAAAAGTTGCTTTAAGGAGCTCTGGTGGCACAGTGCCTAACCAGAGGTTGGCAGTTCAAACCCACCAGCTGCTCCACAGATGTAAGATAGGATGATCTACCTTGGAAACCCGATTGGGGTTGCCATGGGTCTGAATCAGTGGCAGTGTGTTTGGTTTAGTTTGGTAAAGTTGCTTTAACTCAAATTACCTAGCCTGTGCTAAACCTTCTCAAGAAATTTCAAAGGGATAAAGGAAAAAAGAATACAATATTAGGCTTTTGAGGGATACTAGATACATAAACTAAACTAGAGTCCTGAGATCTAAAATAATTTTCATACAATGAAATAGGTTGGAATATAGGGAGCGCTGGTGGTGTAGTAGCTAAGACATCTGACTACTAACCAGAAGGCTGGCAGTTCAAACCTACCAGCCACTCCTCGGAAGGAAGGTTGGGCAATCTACCTCCGTGGTGATTTTTTTAAATAGGCAACTGAAAGGAAGCTATGTTCTTCGGTAGTCCGGAAGTCATAATAGGGACCAGCCAAGAACTGACTCTAGATTTAATTGTTTATTCTTCTGTCTTCAGTTTTTCTTGTGTCTTATATATTCAGATTTGCATTCTGAATTTTTAATTCTTCTTTCTTAGCCTTACACCTGAAATAGTTAGTACACCTTCCTCACCAGAAGAGGAGGATAAGTCAATACTTAATGCATTTGTTCTGACTGATGATTCAGTGCCAACAACAAAAATTCAAATCAGGTTAGCAGATGGGAGTCGTTTGATACAAAGATTCAATAATACCCACAGGTGAGCTACTTTACCAGCCAAGTATATAGGCTGCTGTTATACGTGTGGTTTCTTATCTAAATTGAAACTATGTGACTTGAGTAATGAAGAATATGAAATTTCTTAGATTTAAAGTAAGTTTTGACAGAAGAAAAAAATCTTTAAAAAGATATAGCTGTGTCTATGAATTCAAATACTTAGTGTGTAAACAACTCCTATAAACCACCCAAATACTAAAGCAAATTCAGATACCATGTGAAAATGAAGCAAATCTGCAAGGACTGCCGTTTTGCCTTGTTGCTAAAACCATATGCATCCTTGAATACTTTTGGATTTAGTAAGGAGGAATTATAAACATAATGGGTGTTTCTTAGTTCTGGATTTAAATAATATAGTAAAATTTTATTTGGAGTTTTCTCATTTAGAAAATTATAATTCTGATTGGAGTTCATTTATCAATATACCAAATTCTTCATAATATAAATATGATGTAAATAAATTTAATTGTGCTTTTGTCAGGTATTTTAAATAAATAGTTTTAAATGTATTTGTAATGTCTGTTTGTATGTTGACATTTGTTACGCTAAGATAATATTTTTATTCGTTTATTGAAGTAAGACCTCTATGGGATACATTTATTATTTTAGTTCAGTTACAAAGTATATGTGAAAGAAATTTTATGACAGTTGGAGACTCTTACTTTGCCACCAGCTAATGCAAGTTTATCAGAGTTTACTCTGGTCATGTACTGGTAACATTGTTTTAAGTCAGAAAATAATAAGATTTGCACTTTCAGTGTAATAACATTGTTTACATTTATCTTACACATAATCTACTGGAAATTTTTTCTCTGTTTTACAGTAAAAGTAAATATTAGATAAAATCCAGTTAAAACTTTTCTAATTTAAGGCTGAAATAAGTCTATGTGTTGAAATTACTATAAATTAAACTTAGAATACTTAAAAAAAAAGAGAGAATTACATAATTTTTATTATTTAATTTTTGCTAAAAGCTTCGATGTCAATGGGACTTTTTTGTCAAATTATTTTTATTTTTTTTTATTCAGGATCCTGGATGTCCGAGACTTTATTATACAGTCCCGTCCTGAATTTGCAACTCTTGACTTTATTCTTGTGACTTCATTTCCAAACAAAGAACTAACAGATGAAAGCCTGACGCTACAAGAAGCAGACGTTCTTAACACTGTGATACTCCAGCAACTAAAGTAATTGTGCTCCTGGCCATGCAGCAGAATGGTGGAATACATTGTGTGTCATATTAATAAGAAACATACTTCCAGCATAAAAACAGCCAAATTATTTTTATTACTTTTACAGATAAATTTACCCTAAGGCTGAAGACAGAATACAATGGTTAATTCGAATTCTGTCTTCCAGCCTTAGGGTAAATGAATCCAAACTAGGGCTAGATCTTCAGATAAGTAGGTTTGAGTTTTTAGTTACAGGGCTGGCTTATGTTGACAACTTTTAAATATTCAATTAGACTAATTTGTTACATGTCCAGTGTTAATGTTACAATATTTGTACCAAAACAAAAACTCCATTTTGATAAATGTATTTGATAAAGTTGATACTAGTTTCTTAATGTATTGACTAACAGCTATTAAGAAATCTTTTGATCAGATAAGCTAAGAATTTTGTTTTTCTGTGATTTATAAAGTATTCTGATTTTGAAGTAGTTTGACCATACAGTAATTATTTGTCCTATTAAGATTTTTTGCACTTATTGACTTAGCTATGTTACTTGCATCAAAATAATATTGTTTGGCATTGTATTTTATAGAATTATTGGCATCATAAGCTAGAAACAGAAAGATCTAAAGGTCAGCAGTTGTTAAGAAGATGTCATAAATAGCACTTTAAAGTACTGTGTACTCTTTCCCAGAGCCAGCCTTGATCACGTTCATTTGTCCACTCAACACGTTTTATAGGGAACCCACTATATATGCTAAACACTGTTCTAAATGTTTGATTCAGAATACAGGTCCCTAGTATAGAAATACAGTAGTATAAATTCTGTCAAGTGGACTGAATCTACAGAATTACCAGCATAATGCATTTCTTTTGAAGCCAAGTTTTTCCTGACTGAGATAGACTACATCAAGAATGATAGAAACACTTTTTCTTCTTCCCAGACACCATTTCATTTTTGGTAACCACTCCTGATTAGTTTCCTATTGCTGCTGTGACAAATTACCACCAATTTAGTAGCTTAAAACAACACAAAAGTATTATCTTAAAGTTCTGTATGTTCTAAGTCTGACACAGCTCTCACTGAGCTAAATGCAAGGTGTTAGCAGGGCTGCCTTCCTTTCTGAAGACTGGTGAGAATTGTTTCCTTGCCTTTTCAGCTCCTAGAGGTTTCATATTCACAGCCAGCAATGCAGTGTCACAACTTTCTGACCCTTCCTGTCTCACATGTCTCTGACAACAGCCAGAGAGGGTTCTCTGCTTTTATGAACTCATGTTATTAGGATGGGCCTGTCTGAATAGTCCTGGATAATCTCCCCCTTTAAGGTTCGTGGTAACCTTATCACATCTGCAAAGTCCTTTTTGCCATGTAAACATGTTATAATTTTTGAGGGCTATGGTTTGAATACCTTTGGGGGGGGTCATTATTCCACCTACTACAGTTGCTTCCTATGCCTGAAGATTCACATCTGCCCCAAATATATTCACCCCAGTTAAAGGTACCCAAAATTTTTAGCCTGTTATACCATCAACTCAAAGTTCAGAATCTCATCTAAATCTCCCCAGCTCAAAAGTCCCAAAGCTTATCAAGTTGGTTATATATGGGTGTCTGTATGATTCATCCTGGGACATAATTTCTCTCCATCAGTACACCTGGAAAACTAGAAAACAAGTTATCTGCTTCCAAATATAATAGTAAGATAGGCATACAATAGCAATTTGTTGTTGTTGTTGTTGTTGTTATGTGCCATCGAGTCGGACCGACTCATAGCGACCCTTCCTTGGGTTTCCAAGGTAGTATCACTATGGAAGTAGATTGCCCCATCTTCCTTCCGAGGAGTGGCTGGTGGGTTTGAACCGCCAGCCTTCTGGTTAACAGTCAAGTGCTTCAGGCACTATGCTACCAGAGCTCCCAATAGCAATTTAGACATTCCTATTCAAAAAGGGAGAAAATTGAATGAAAAAAGGAACTATCAGTCCCAAGCAGTTTAAGGTCTGGAAATAATCCTCTGTGGCTCCTGGCTCCACTCTCTGGGCTTGTGCCATGGTGAGGATCACCGTGAATCTAATTGTCAACATGTGGAGGTTGGTGCAATCTCTGCGTTCTGCTTCTCCATCCTCATCACCATCCATCCCCACGGCACTCTCTCTCAAACCTGTTGTTGTTATGTGCCGTCAAGTTGGACCCGACTCATTGCAACCTCTCCTTGGGTTTCCAATGCAGTATCACTACAGAAGTAGATTGCCCTATCTTCCTTCCAAGGAGTGGCTGGTGGGTTTGAACTACCAGCCTTCTAGCCACCCAGATTTTGGTCAGAGTTCACAGTGAAGAGGACACCAAATAGGCAGATGCCAGTCACAAGTTTGGGGAGTCTACACCACATCCCAGGCTTCTGACCCACTGGCCACAATTGTGGGGCCTGTTTCCTACTACCCCTTATTTAATGTCCATATTTCTACTAACAGTGTGTTCGCAATGATACAGGTTTTCTCTTTGGTGATTTCAGTTTTCTCTGTTCTGAGTTCTCACTAGCAGGGTCATTATCATCAGTATTTCTACTAATAGTCTGTTGAAGGCAATCTTGGCTTTTTCTGTAATGCTCTTGAAAATTCTTCCAGCCTCTACCTGCTGCCCAATTCTAAACCCATTTCTTTGTTTTTAGGTATTTGTTAGAGCAGCACCCCATTTCCTGATATCTAGAAAGATCTGTTACGCCTATGTACTGCCAATTAACTTTGTTATTCTAATTGGAGATTTGGAATTCATGATTCTGTGCAGCCCTAGTTATGTCAAAGAAGTAAATTTATCTGTGTTAAAGTTTTAATACTGGAAGTATTCAAATAGTGGTTTTGCTTCATTGAAAGTCATTTTCCTAATTTTTTTTTACTGCTGCAATCTAATTTGCAAAATTTGTAATGATCTCAAAAGAGATTGTCACAATGAGCAGTTAGACATTTCAGATATCATTTTGCATGATTATGTAATCAAAACATTTGAAATGGGCACCTTACCAATAAAGAATGTTTTCACTGAAAATATTTTTGAACATTTCCTTGATTTGTAGTTTTATTTGAGTAGCTGAATAGATTTGAAATTTGAGTAATCTTTCCTGTCGTTTAATCCTATGGTGGCTCTTTTGGAGGGGCAGGAAAGGAACTGAGTTGTAGCTATGTTATCTCAGTGTTTCTTCATTTTATCACAGTAGATTTTGAAAATCCTTGTCACGACATGTATTGTTAATAAAGTGGATCATGTTTTCCCCATTAGGGTTTGTGTCCCTGACCGGTGATGCAAATTAACGTATATATGACTCACATTATCAGAAAGCCTAAGAGTTAGTTTGTATAATCCTCTTTACAACTTTTAATTAAAGTATGTTCTAACTACAAAATAAATGGTTTATAAAAGGAACGCCTGGATATGTATGCAATATGTTTTATTGTGTGTTTTTGTATAACATAAAAAAACGGTATGTGTGACCTAGAACAAGTATGTTAACTTGATCAATTTAACTTATAATTTTGCCTCTTTTAGAATTTACAAAGGAGCTCTAGCAGTGCAGTGCCTAAGGCATTTGACTGCTAACCAGAAAGTTGGCGGTTCAAACCCACCAGCCACTCTACAGAAGGAAGACAGAGCAATGTACTGTGTAAAGATTTACCACCTTGGAAACCCAATGGGGCTTGCTATAAGTCGAAATTGACTTGATGGCAGTGGGTTTTTTCATTTAGAATTTATAGCTATGACCTGGGTCTCTTAAAAGAAGAAATAATAACCTCTCTCCAAAAGTTTGAACTTGATAACATCTTTTTTTTTTTTTTAGATGAATGTTTCTCTGTGAAGCAGAGAATCATCCTAGGTATGTACAACTTAGAACTTACTTTGAGTACTGTTTTGTTGATTTGTATCACAAACATTGGCTTTTTCTGGAGGGCCTGATAACTTATTACCAACTCATTAGCATGGATTTATGAACATCACAAATAATTATCAACACAATATTTTTTATATTGAGTTACCATTGAGTTGAAGTATGTGTGTTATAATTAGGCACTGCCAAAGGGGCAGGGAGGCCACATCTTCTGACCTCCTCTAACCCCACAAGAGGAAGGCAGAATCACCGTCAGTAGCCCAAGGCCTATCCCTGTGGGGCCAAACATGCTGCCTCCCTCCAGCCCTTTCTTGACACCAACCATTCCTCCTGCAGCATCCACCACCTCTCTGCTGGGTTCGATAATTTGCTGCAGTGGCCATGGGGTTTGTTAGGGAAGAAACAGGCTACAACTCAAGTTCATAAATGCACTCGGTCCCCCGCAGCCCACCATCTCTCAGCTGACAATCTCTCTCAGTTTCTCAGCAGTGCATGTCTCTTGCATCTCTGTCTCAGCAGTGTGTGTCTCTCATGTCTCTCTGCAGTGCATCTTTCTCAGCCAGCAGTCAGGAGACTCCTGCTTCTAGGTGTGGTCCTTTTGAGCCTGGCAGAGTGGCCAAATAAACCAAACCCAACATCAGAATTCTATACACCTGAGAGACAGCAAACTTCCCAGAAGATTGCTTCATGCCACTCTCAACAGAAATACCCCAGGTGGATAACTTTAACAATCAGGACCTACTCAGTTGCTTGTGGCAAATTCCACCACAGAGTTTACAAAGACTTATGACTAGGAAAGTCACACTATCTAATTTACTACACCGCAGGCACCATCTAGAGGTTAAAGGTTTGAGGGAACTGCTGGAGTTTTCTTTATTTTTGTTTTCGTTTTTTGTCAAAATTATCTTTTCTATCTTTACTTTGTTAAGTTTACATTGGCTTGGCTGTACTGTTTTAAATGGGGTACACTGTCAAGATGCAGACTAGGCAGACAAGCTACCCAGACCCTCTACAACAAAGATAGGAGAAACCAAATGAAATGGATACAGATGATAATCTTGGAACCCTAAGCTTCAAAGAAAAGGATAAAGAAGTAGATCAAATACCAAGTAGAAGAAGAAACTGAATGGAAACAGCGAACAAAGAGATACACAGATTGGTGAATTGTCAAGTAGTCTGACACAAAGTAGCCATTTTGAATTTTTGCGTGCAGTGTTCTGATTGAGGCAGGAACCTAAAAATCAGTTCTGCCCACCCAGGAT